AAACATGAGAATGCTGCGATGACTAGGCTCTTAAGTAGCTTTATTAGATACTCACTGTTTTAAATCTATTATACATTGGGAACTATTTGGCTGCAAAAAAAAACTGAATTCAGATTAACGTGTGTTTTTGATATAGTAAATATGATTAAATATAGGACTTTAAATTTGGATCTTTATAATGTGCGTTTAGAAATAAGATGGTGTTAAAGTGAATGCTGTTAACGTATTTCTTTAATTGAAAAAGGAAGTAAAATTTTTTCTGAGAGGAAGTATAATTTGACTGAGTCTTTTGAGAAGGAAAACTGGCCTTTCTCATTATGTGATGTCAGACTTTTTTTCGCTTTTGCAGCAAAACTGCTGTCCATTCACTTCCTTTACAGGATGAGGATGGATAGATAGGTCTTGGAAATGCAAAAAGCAGGTTACCCAGTCTGTTTTCTTTGTGAACATACTAATAGCAGATCTTGTGACATATAAAATGAACATATATTATTAGCAAGAGAACTCTAAACTATGGAATTTTAGCAGAATATTCCTGGTTGTCATCTAGGATTGCTCATGACAAACTAGCAATCCATGGATTTATAGAACAGAAGCTCTCTGGGAAAATGTCTTATTAATTATATGTACTATCTGAGTATAAAATGGAAATGTTGCATGAACCCAATGGTTATTAGTATGTAAGCAAAGTGACTGTAAATCCTCCTTATAAACTTCATACATTAATTTGTTACAGAAAATGTCAGATCCAGATGGAGTCTGGGGAGCTGCTCCAGGGGTTCAGGACATCCCCCTGCTTTATGCATGGGCAATTATTAGGAAAACTTGATACCACCTAAGACCTGTGATTCAGGTAAGTCTGATTTGACAATCCAGTTCTTTGGATTATCTCAGCTGGTTTCCAGTTCTTTGTTTAACAGTGTGGAGAAAAAGCTAATCAAATTTTCAGCTTATTGATCATTGAACATAATTTTTTCATGAAAAATCATCTGTGATTTTTGACATGCAACTCAGAAGTTGTTCAGAATAATTGAGGGACAATGTTATAAGAACACACCTTCTGCTATCAACTGCTTGTTTCTGTGAGCTGTGTTCCCCAGCACTTACATGTGCAGAAATCAAAACGGTAATCAGCTTTAAGCCTGGAAATGTAACAGATGATGAGACCCCATCTTTACTCCTCAAGTACACAATTTAAGGTACAAGCAAATGAAAACTGGTACACTTTCAAGCAGACAGCTATTTTGTTGTTATTGTTGTTGTCTGTTTATCTCTGGAGCGAATGCAAATTACTCCTGTTTAATGCCAGCCTTCAATTCTCAAAAGACTTTGAAATCGGCTCCTATAAGCCCTGGTCTAAATCTCTCCTGGAATTTGTATAACTTTCCTTGGTACAAAACAGACTTTTACTGAAATATACAATTAATTTTCTTATCAAAAGTTAGTACTTTTAAAAATAATAAATCCATTTTCTAAATTTTAACTAAATATACTTTACATGCATGACTTTAATGGCTGAATAACATACTATCAAAAAATAAACCAAAATGTATTTCAGTATTCTGTGACTAGTAATGTACTCCATTTTTATATAAATTGTTGCCTAAATTTATTTATTTAAAAATAGTGTCCCCGGGTCAGGAACTTTGTATAGATTACTATGCTGGCAAGTGACAAAAATGCCCATCTTTCTACATTCTCCACATCATTTAATATGATTTAAAAGTGTTTCCTACCTTGATAGGTGAAAAATTTTAATTTGCCTTTCTTTGATTAATAGAGGTTGAATGTTTTTTTCATTTTTTTGGCATATGAAATTTTTCCTTCCATGAATTGTTGAGAAACATAATCCTGATAGTTAAACGTGCTCCTCATTTTATCTGTTCTCCATTTCCCCAATAATCAAAAATATAAAACTAGCTCTTTATGATAATCGTAATGAACAGGATGTGAGGTCAGTCATTTCAGAACATGCACAGAGAACCTGCTCTCTATAAATGATTTTGTTTCAAGGAGACTTCATTTCCTATTACATGAGAGAGGACTAATAACCAGTTCCTACTTGGGTACATGGAGATTTAAGGGTCCAGTGTAGCAGACGTGAATTTTCATTTGCCCTGAAGAATAACATATGCTCCTCTCACGCAACTCTGCCAAATGCTTTTCATGTATCTCTGTTCTATTTCAAAAAAAGTATAGCAAACCATTTATATACAACCAGCAGGAAATACAGTTTTTACTTCAAAACAGTGGAAAAATAAAAAATAAATGCTTATCATCTCCCTAAGTGATCCTTCCAGAATCTGTCCTTATTGGTCCTGGAAATGTATCATCTCATGAATTACGTATGAAAAATTTCAAAATACATTTGTAGTGGAAGCCAAAACTCTCCACACTTAAGAACTGCTGATGTGGTATTATTTGTTGTTAGATTATTTTTAGTTCTGCAAGCTGAGACCATGCATTTCCATATTATTTGCATTTGCATCCCCCTCTTTTTTATTGACGTACAGTCAGTTATAATGTGTCAATTTCTAGTGTACAGCACAATGTCCCAGTCATGCATATACATACATATATTCACTCTCATATTCTGTTTTATTAAAGATTATTACAAGATGTTGAATATAGTTCTCTGTGCTATACAGAAGAAACTTTTATCCCCTTTTTTAATAATAATTAGCAATTCTGTTTCACAGTCAGCAGTAACACCAAATTGCTGACATCAACATTAATTTCCAACAAAGTTTAGGCTATTATTCAGAGTGAAACATTATTGTAAACTACATTTAGCAAAAGGAATCTTTACAGAGTAATTTTAGCAAAATTTTAACTACAAAAAATGTTTTATATTTGTAATTTGACTGAAATGTTG